TCTAAAAAAAATACTAATTTTTAAAAACATATTAAAAAAATAAATATGTAAAAAATAATTTTTGTAGAATATAAAAAATAAATTTTATAAATTCAAAGAAATCTAAAAAAAAAAAAAAAACCTAAATTTTAGAAAATATATAAAAAGAAAGTTGTAACAAAAATAAGTTTAGAACAAATTTGTAATAAAATTAAAAAAGCTGGGTCAAAGTGTAGATTAAAAAACGTAAGGATCAGTTTTTAGTAAAAGATAAAAACCTGGTTTAGAAAAATAAAAAACAAAAGTTAAGTTAAGATAAATGGAAATGATATTTTGTTAGTATGGTAATTTAGGAATGTTTTATAAAAAGAACCGTTAGAAATCTGGAAGTCGAAAGGGTTGGGTCGGTGTATTCGCGCTTAAAATAACCTTCTTCACTCGTCCCTCTCGCTTCTCTCCAAACATCGCCGGAGACATACATGTTTCCTTGAAGAAGAGGGTCTTATTTGCACGCAGCATCTTCCTCCCTTTTTTCTTCTATCGACGCCACCGTTTCCTCTTTTTTTTTTTTCATTCTCAGGCGTTCGAACAATCCTCTGCGTTTCCCTCTTCCTTTGTTAGGTAATGTTCTTGATTTTTTATTTTTTGTGTATTCTATTGATTTCGTTTTTGTTTTTGTTAGGTATTTAAAATTAGGCTAATCCCCTCTTCACTGGATTCATCGGGCTATTGGGTTCTACCTTTATTCTTTGTAGTTGTAGTATGACGTCTGGTTCCGATGTCAGCTTGGTTCACCGTCGTCATCGATCAAGAAAAAGAGTCCAGGTCTTTCTCCTCTGATTTCTAGGTTGTGAGTTTAATTGTGTATTTTTCACCTCTGATTTCTGGGTTTCTTTTTTCTTTCTATTTCTCGTCCATTTATTTTTTGTTTTGCTGTTTTTTTGAACCAGGTCACGTAATAGAAAGCACCCATCAAGTGAATGAAGATGATTGGTCAAGCAACGGTAAAATTTAAGTAGTCTTGAAACCTAAAAAAGTATTGTTTAGTTGTAAACACTGTTAGGTGTTTGATGAAATGCCTTAATTAAGTTGAAGAGTTGTTTTGAGGGTGAAAATGTTATTAGATTAAATTATGTAGAGAGAAGCAAATAAGCACAAGCCAAATTTAAATATTAAACAACTTTTTGAGCGATCAGAGATTCAATTAGGGAAAGATAATTTATTCTTTGCGTTTTTAACTCATTCAGAAATAGAAGTGTGTTTTGGTTCTAACTAAAAGTTGCATATAAAATTGTGTGTTTCTATTTAATTAAGGTAGGTTTCACTTCCAATTAATATACACTAGGATGAACTTTAAAATTTTCATATTTGAAACAGATTTTGATTGTCATTGCTACAAAAATATTAGGACTCAAGTATGTAATTTTCTTACTGCAGGATTTTAGAGATTGAAGTTTGATTTTTGGGGGCATAAGGTCAAAATGCTTGAATGTTAATCAAATGAGGATACTTCCAAGAGGTGTTGTGATTTTTCTGACATTTCAGTTGCAAGGCTACCACAAAGATACGGTTTTAGTTCCATTGAATCTCAAATAAAGGTTTTGTGTGATTTCCATCTTTTATCCACTGCTTATAAAAGAAATTAGTCTGGAACTTTGTTTGTTTATTTCCAGAAATACCCCTCTGTTCCTAAAACTTGTGCATATATATATTATTTGCAGGAAATGATGGGATTATCATACTTCATGTTGAATCAATCAAAAAAAGATGTTGAATATTGCATGGAAAACACCTTCAACACTTATGTGGTATGTCTGGTATTTCTTTACAACAAATATTTGTCATTTCTGTTTATTTATTTAAAAGGTGTGCTTTTATTTAGCGTATTAGGACATCAATGCCTCATGGTGTGGCCTTTGGTGGATAAAGAGGGTGTTGGTGTTTGCTTTCATTTCTCTTATGAGGTAATAGTCAATTCCCTTTTGTGAATAAAAATATTATATTTGGGATTTTTCTAAAATAACTTCACTTTTTTGCAGGAACCTCTTCATTCAGCTGTGATGCTTGTTCCAATTATGTTAAGAAAATATGGATTTCATTTCATTCTTTCTGGTGATTTGTACAAGAAATGGGATCAGGTATTGCAATTTTTGTTACTGGATCATATCATCATACTTTAATAGAAGATAATTTTGTTTTCCAATTATTATCGAATATATGAATGATTTATCCATTTTTGTTAGAGTAATGGTGCAATGGATCCAGAGGTTCTAAAAGAATTTGTTTCAGTCCACAAAGAGGTTTTCACTCCTTAAATATCAACTTTATTGTGATTAGGTTATCGAATATATATATATATATATATATATATATATATATATATATATATATATATATATATATATATATATATATATATAATAAAGTAAATAAATGCATGTGATACAGACAGAGCAAGAGAAACACAATTGCATTTGATCATGAATCAAATCCATGGGCATTTTGCGTAAGTGTTTTATAGCATCATGTTTTCATTTTCTTTCTATTACATTATTGTACTTTCAATATTTTCTTTATCAAGACATTGTACTTTGAAAATTTTACCTAATTTACACATTTACCCTTTTGGCTAATTTTAACTAAATCTGTTATGACATGTAATTCCAGGAACTTCTGAGGGTTTGATCGAGAGAGATGTGGTTTGAAAATAACCATACATTTTCATTTCAATTGATTTAAAATGTGGTTGTTTATTTAAGTATTTTATTTTTGTTTTTAAGGTAAGGAGTTGACATCTCATTACCTTTCTATGAGGGTGATGATAATCCAAATGTATGCATTGTGCATGACTTATTTGTTATACAACTTTGATCTTGGTTATTGCCAGGTAACATGCCATTATTATTATTATTATTATTATTTATAGAGTAAATTACAATTTCTTCCTTGTGATATTTCAAAAGTAAGTTATTATCTTCATCCAGATAAAAGTATAGTAGTTTTGTTGCAAGGTTTGTCCCTGGTATTGATAGTATTGCAAAATGTTTGTGAAGTCCAAAGTGAAATGACTATTTTGTCCCCCTCTTTTTCTCCTTCATCCTCTAAACCTAAAATTCCTCAAATCTTCATCTTAAATTCTAATCAAACCAAAACTCAAAAATTAAACTAGAACTAAAACAAAATTAATATCCAGGGTACCAACAAGCTGAAGAAAAAAACAGAAAACTAAAGGTTGTTTGGTTAGAATTTTTTGTTTTTTTATTATTATCTTGATTTTGTTTTAATTTTTGGGTGTTTTAGGTTTTTATGATTTAAGAGGAAGGAGATTGAGAAGATGAAGATAAGGGCAAAAAAGTCATTTTACTTAAAACAAATTAGTCATATTACTTAAAAACCTTTTTTTTAAACACCGTTAGTGCAAGGGACGAACATTGCAAAAAAAAAAAAAAAAAAAAAAAAAATGATTGTTAATTATTTGTGGTTTTTTTTTATTATACACAATATTTTGCTAATGTTTGTAAAAAAACAATTTTTTTTTCTCAGAGTGCTTGAGTGATCTCTCTCCAATATCATTATTCATCATGAAAGATGAATCACAAGCTTTCTGGTGTTTTCTTTTAGGTCCAAACTTCAACCGTGATCTAGGGTATTTTGGCCATTTAATAAAAAAAAGAGTAATGAAATTGAAACCACCTGCCATCATGAATGGTTGAAGTCCTTCAAATTTGAAATTTAAAGGAAATTGACAGAGTTGAACTCTGTCCAGATTTTCAACCAAATGCAGCATTGAATGGAATCTCGAATTCCAATTCCATTGGAATCCACAATTCCAATTCTTGGCTGCTATAAATGGAATTTCAAGAAAATCCAACGGAACTGAATTCTGTCCCAATTGTCAACCAAATACGTCATGAAATGGAATCTCGAATCCCGACTCTGTCGGAATCAGCTATTCCATTTCTTAGCTGAGGTTTCTAACATGTTTAATTTTGTTTTGATAGGGCAGCTCAATGCACAACTACTTCAAACAAAACGACCGCTTCTGTTTCCACTGGATTCTGATCCAATTCAAAAAGCAGCAAGTAACTTTACTCTTCTACCCTCACAAACTACACTACTAATTTGACAGTTTAGAGAGTTTTTTAGGGGAAAAAGATGGGTCTTCTCTTTGAGAAGAATCCTCAATATATACTCAATACACAAGATATTTATCACCCTGAATCTCATATTTCTAGCCTATAAATCAGCTTACTAGAGTTATATTGACAAGAAAAGCATGTGATAGCAAAGATATTTTGCTGATTAATCTGAAGCATAAAATCCGTATATGAATTTGATAATTGCATGTGATACATAGAAATTATACACTGATTACAAAAGATAAGCTGGGACCACTAGTAGTATCTCTATGCATTGGAGCGGAAGCAAAAGTTTTGTGTGTGAATAATAGGCAAAAGCCAATTAGAACGAAGATAAAAACTGTTGGTAAAATTTACGAATTTACCCTTTCGACTAATTTTAACTAAATCTGTTAATGACATGTAATTCCAGGTAGTGGGATCTTATTCATAAGGTTCGACATACGCACAGAGGCAATATCTTGTCTCAGTTAATTAAAACATCAGAGTATATGACTATCAAAAAGCAATGGCGGCAGGTAAATGACTATTTTGCCCTTCCAACTTCTATAACCCACATGTTATGTTTATTGCAAAATTCTTTTCAAGTTATTTAAAATGCGGTTTTCTTATTTGAGTATTTTATTATTGTTTTCAAGGTAAGGACTGACATGTAATTGTCGTTCTATTAAGGTGATGATATATTCTTGACTTGTTCTACAACTTTGATCTTGGTTATTGCCAGGTAACATGCCATTATTATTATTATTTATAGAGTAAATTACAATTTTGTCCTTGTGATATATCTCAAAAGTTATGGTTTTCATCTAGATATTTCGTTTGTCGCACGAGAGATTGATAAAAGTATCGTTTTGTTGCAAGGTTTGTCCCTGGTAGGGACTGATGGTGTTGCAAAATGCCAGTGAAGTCCAAGAGAAATATGACTATTTTGCCCCTATCTTTTTATCCCCTTTTTTTGTATATGTGGGATGCTCTGAGAACCTGGACTTGCATTTAGCTCCAATCACACTAGTGAAACTAAACCCAAAAGATGTTGTACAATTTCCAAAACTTATTACTCAGGTAACTTCAAATCCTTTTGTTGAATCATAATGTAGTGTGTTTGGCTTTGCTGAACTTTTTGCAAATTCTGTCTTGTTATCGTAATAACAGACTTAAACATTTACCTCCAATAACATGAGTTTTTTTATTATTATTTGAGTTTTTAATCTTTTCATACCGATGTATTTGCCATATGAATTGGTGCTTTAATTTTTAGGGAAGTAACAACCGATCACCCTTCTCTTTTCATCCACAAAAACCAGATGATGTTGCTACGAGTGGACACCAAAGGTTTCTATTTCTTATTCACTAATGTTTCTTTTTTCAAGTATACCAAAGTTGAACCTTTTCTTACCCAAACTGGAAATTATTCCTTTTCCTACATTAGTGAATAAGGGGTTGTACTTTCCCATGGAAACCTGATTGCCAATGTTGCTAGTGGAAGTCTTGAAATTAAGTCCTATCCATCGGATTTGTAAGTAAATATCAATTGTTTCATCATTATTTTCTTCTAATAATGCATATGCTTATTTTACTTATATATATATATATATATATATATATATATATATATATATATAATGATATATAATGATTTTTTTTCCTACTTAATCACATCTTGACAACACTTCTGTTTCTTTTTTACTTAATTGCTGTATTTTCATTCGGGAAGGACAACATGAAATTGTTGGAATACATGGGGGAATTGAGTTCAACCTATTATATTCTGCAGTGCTCCATGATTATATAACAGAGTATATGGTATGATGGGTATGATAAATTTATGTATTTTTCCAAGATTCCAAGAATAAAGAACACAAGGTCTTTCTTTTGATCAAATAACGTATCCTTTTTTTTTTTTTATTATTATATGTGGGATGTTCTCACTGGTTCTGAATCTCGTTGTTTGTTATTTAGATGATACGAAAAAGTTGAAGCTCTGTTTCATTTAGCTTGTAGACAAGAAACTGATTTTTCACTTCAACCCTACAGACTATAATAGAGCTTCAAATTAATTGCAAATGTTGTATGCATCAATCAGATGTTTGACAACCAAATGTTGAGGTATATAAATTTATCTGTTTACATGTTACAATGCTTTCATGTTAAGTAACTTGTTTACTAGCTAATTTACCCATGCAGTGAGTGTAAGCTGTAGGTGACAAAGGAGCAGGTTATTGCTGATGCATAGACCCATCACCTATTGAAACTATACCCATCTGTGTAAGTTTTTCACCTAATTATACTGCCTCAAACTTACACACAGTTCTAAGACTTTAAATTTTATCATTTTAAGTTTAATTATTTAGCTTCTCTTTGTGTGATTTCTGTCTTCTATCCACTGATTATAAAAGATATGAGTCTGTAACTCTGTTTGCTTATTTCCAGAAATACCCCTCTGTTCCTAAAATTTGTGCTGAATATTATCTGCAGGAAATGATGGGATTAGCATACTTCATGTTGAATCAATCAAAAAAGATGCTGAATATTGCACGGAAAACACCTTCAGCACTTATGTAGTATGTCTGGTAGTTCTTCACAACAAATATTTGTCATTTCTGTTTATTTATTTAAAAGGTGTGCTTTTATTTAGCGTATTAGGACATCAATGCGTCATGGTGTGGCCTTTGGTGGATAAAGAGGGTGTTGGTGTTTGCTTTCATTTCTCTTATGAGGTAATAGTCAATTCCCTTTTGTGAATAAAAATATTATATTTGGGATTTTTCTAAAATAACTTCAGTTTTTAGCAGGAACCTCTTCATTCAGCTGTGATGCTTGTTCCAATTATGTTAAGAAAATATGGATTTCATTTCATTCTTTCTGGTGATCTGTACAAGAAATGGGATCAGGTATTGCAAATTTTGTCACTAGATCCTATCTTAATACTTTAATAGAAGATAATTTTGTTTTCCAATTATTATCGAATATATGAATGATTTATCCATTTTTGTTAGAGTAATGGTGCAATGGATCCAGAGGTTCTAAAAGAATTTGTTTCAGTCCACAAAGAGGTTTTCACTCCTTAAATATCAACTTTATTGTGATTAGGCTATTGAATATATGTATATATATATATATATATATATATATATATATATATATATATATATATATATATATATATATATGAAGTTCATAATTGCATGTGATACAGACAGAGCAAGAGAAACACACTTGCATTTGATCATGAATCAAATCCATGTGCATTTTACATAACCGTTTTATAGCATCATGTTTTCATTTTCTTTCTAATGTTTGTAAGAAACAATTTTTTTTCTCACAGTGCTTGAGTGATCTCTCTCCAATATCATTATTCATCATGAAAGATGAATCACAAGCTTTCTGGTGTTTTTTTTTTTCCATGAATGGTTGAAGCCCTTCAATTTATAAATTTAAAGGAATTTGACAGTATTGATTCTGTCCAAATTTTCAACCAAATGCAACATTGAATGGAATCTCGAAATCCAATTCCCTTGGAATCCACAATTCCAATTCTTGGCTGCGAAGCGATTACTAAAAATGGAATTTCAAGAAAATCCAACAGAACTGAATTATGTCCCAATTGTCTGTCAACCAAATACATCATGAAATGGAATCTCGAATCCCGACTTTGTCGGAATCCGCTATTCCATTTCTTAGCTGCGGTTTCTAACATGTCTAATTTTGTTTTGATAGGGCAGCTTAATGTTTCCATTCGATTCTGATCCAATTCAAAAAGTGGCAAGTAACTTTACTCTTCTACCCTCACAAACTACACTACTAATTTGACAGTTTAGAGAAATTTTTAGGGAAAAAAGATGGGTCTTCTCTTTGAGAAGAATCCTCAATATACACTCAATACACAAGCTATTTATCTTGTCTCAGTTAATTAAAACATCAGAGTATATGACTATTAAAAAGCAATGGCGGCAGGTAAATGACTATTTTGCCCTTACAACTTCTATAACCCACATATTATTTTTATTGCAAATTCTTTTCAAGTTATTTGAAATGCGGTTTTCTTATTTGAGTATTTTGTTATTGTTTTTAAGGTAAGGACTGACGGGTAATTGTCGCTCTATTAAGGTGATGATATATTCTTGACTTGTTCTACAACTTTGATCTTGGTTATTGTCAGGTAACATGCCACTATAGTAAATTACAATTTCATCCTTGTGATATATCTCAAAAGTTATGGTTTTCATGTAGATATTTCGTTTGTTGCACAAGAGGTTGATAAAAGTATCGTTTTGTTGCAAGGTTTGTCCCTGGGATGGTGTTGCAAAATGCCAGTGAAGTCCAAGTGAAATATGACTATTTTGCCCCTGTCTTTTTATCCTGTTTTTTGTATATGTGGGATGCTCTGAGAACCTGGACTTGCATTTAGCTCCAATCACACTAGTGAAACTAAACCCAAAAGATGTTGTATCATTTCCAAAACTTATTACTCAGGTAACTTCAAATCCTTTTTGTTGAATCATAATGTAGTGTGTTTGGCTTTGCTGAACTTTTTGCAAATTCTGTCTTGTTATCGTAATAACAGACTTAAACATTTACCTCCAATAACATGAGTTTTTTTTATTATTATTTGAGTTTTTAATCTTTTCATACCGATGTATTTGCCATATGAATTAGTGGTTTTTAGGGAAGTAACAACCAATCACCCTTCTGTTTTCATCCACCAAAACCAGATGATGTTGCTACAAGTGGACACCAAAGGTTTCTATTTCTTATTCACTAATGTTTCTTTTTTCAAGTATACCAAAGTTGAACCTTTCCTTACCCAAACTGGAAATTATTCCTTTTCCTACATTAGTGAATAAGGGGTTGTACTCAGGGGCGGCTCAACCAATTTGGTGGCTCTAAGCGGACCAAAAATTTGGGGCTATTTGGTATTTACTATACTTAATGTTATAAGCCCTCCTCTTTTAGTCGGGCTTGGGAGCGGCAATAACAAACTAAAAAGGTTTATAAATAGAGGAGTTAGAAATTATTATTATTATTATTATTATTATTATTATGTATATGTCTTTTTGTGAATACATATAAGACATAAAGTTAACTTTTTTTAGCCTTTTTAGATACTTTATGCATGATCTCATATTACCCAGCTAACAAACATCATCTTGTTCGTTATATAGGTGTCGGAATACTTTCTATCCCGTATGCCTGGATTCAGACCCCCTTGTCATCAAAACATACCCTAACATAGGCAAAGTGGCATTTGGGAGAAAAGGGAGGGCAATTATTTCAACCTTCATGTGCCTCGAGCTTATTTTGGTGGCAGTTGAGTTTTTAATTACGGAAGGTGAAAATTTACAACACATTTCCAGAGGAAAGTTTTGATATTTTTGGAATGAAAATTGGATGGAAAAGGGTTTGTTTTGGTGACTGCTCTTGTGGTATTGCCTATAACCTGGCTAAGAAAAATTAAGGGGTGTTGGCATATGTTTTTTTGCTGGTGGGGTAATTGCATCAGTGATTCTGTTCTTGGCTATATCTTGAGCTGGTGCTTTTGATGGAATTGGATTCCATGAGAAAGGGAAACTCTGGAATTAGAATGGGTTTCCAGCTGCCATAAAAGCTTGTTTACTTTTTGTTATTATGGACATTATGGAATTCCATAAATGATAAGTCCCAGTTTCCAAAGGTTAGTATTTGGTTTTATATTGCAATATTCATACCAAAGTACATTAAAGATGTTATATACTTTACAAAAAGACAAGCATGTTTTGAGAAATAGTGACAATGGAAAGGTAGAAATTAAGACTTTTTAATTATCAGGTGCTTCTATATCAAAACAGATTTCCACATCAAATAGATTTAACTTCATCAAAATAACAAAATTTATCATAGATTATCAGATTATCACAAGACACAAAATTCACAATCATAGATAATCAACAATGGACAGTTATCGGTTATAGAGAAATAGAGAATCAAAGGAAGAACCGAAGAAGAACATGCCTTTTAAGAATCAGCCTTTCAAGATTCATGAATCACCAAATCAGTTGAGTTCTTGAAACTTGATAGAATATTTTTTTTTTTTTTTTTCAACAATCAATAATCGATAAGAGCCAGGAAGAAGAAGAATCAAGAATCAGAGAATCAAACAGGAACTGGTTTTTGCGGCTTAAGGAGAATGAAGAATGAAATCAGAGATCCCCTAATTGAAATTTGGGTTATGTGGTGCCCTTTGATTTGGGGGCCCTAAGCAAGGGCTTAGTTTCATTCTATGTAAGTCTGGCCCTGAAGTTGTACTTTCCCATGGAAACCTGATTGCCAATGTTGATGGTGGAAGTCTTGAAATTAAGTCCTATCCATCGGATTTGTAAGTAAATGTCAATTGTTTCTTCTAATAATGCACATGCTTATTTTACTTATATATAATTTATATATATATTTCTTATCTTCCTTTGGCACGCATATATGAAAGGTCCAATCAGATCATATCATGGAGTAAGAAACTCAAATTTCATGATAATGGTTTTTTTTCCTACTTAATCACATCTTGACAACACTTCTGTTTCTTTTTTACTTAATCACTGTATTTTCATTCAGGAAGGACAACATGAAATTTTTGGAATACATGGGGGAATTGAGTTCAACCTATGATTATATAACAGAGTATATGGTATGATGGGTATGATAAATTTATGTATTTTTCCAAGATTCCAAGAATAAAGAACACAAGGTCTTTCTTTTGATCAAATAGCGTATCCTTTTTTTTTTTTTTTTTAATTATATGTGGGATGTTCTCACTGGTTCTGAATCTCGTTGTTTGTTATTTAGTTGATACGAAAAAGTTGAAGCTCTGTTTCATTTAGCTTGTAGACAAGAAACTGATTTTTAACTTCAACCCTACAGACTATAATAGAGCTTCAAATTAATTGCAAATGTTGTATGCATCAATCAGATGTTCGACAACCAAATGTTGAGGTATATAAATTTATCTGTTTACATGTTACAATGCTTTCATGTTAAGCAACTTGTTTACTAGCTAATTTACCCATGCAGTGAGTGTAAGCTGTAGGTGACAAAGGAGCAGGTTATTGCTGATGCATAGACCCATCACCTATCTGTGTAAGTTTTTCACCTAATTATACTGTCTCAAACTTACATACAGTTCTAATACATTAAATTTTATCATTTTAAAATTAATTATTTAGCTTCTCTTTGTACCAACATGTGTGTATGTGTATCCTTTTCAGACACCATGGATCCTTTGATCATCCTGAAATTTATGTAATTGTTTGCATGCTTTTATTTTTACTAACTGAAATTTATGGAATATGGTTACAAAAATGGAGATTATAAGTACTAACAGATTTTTTTTACTTTTATAGTGGAGGAGTTTCTTGCTACAGTTAAACAAAATGTTCTTATTGTCAGGTTGGTGGTTTAGGTCCTTATTTCATGGTTTCATAATGCTTTTGGTACCAGGGTTGTCAGCTAGATGTTAAGTTTATGAAAATGACCATTTTGTCCCTTTCATCATCATATCTTTCATTTCCATTTTCAAGGAGCATGATGAAATTTCAACAAAGTTCTATCTCTCTTTAAAAACAGAATTCTCATATATGTTGAAGGAGCAAAAAAAAAAAAAAACTAAATCCCTAAAAACAAAATCTTTTTTATAATATGGTACTCATTTCTTGGTTTTTGATAATGCTGGGTCTCAACTTCAAACAGCCTATATGCTAAATTTATGAAAAAGACCATTTTGCCAATGTCTTTTTTATCTCTTCCGTTTCCATGTTGAAGGAGCATATTTTACCCTCAACAAAATTCACAACTTCTCTTAAAAAATTATTTGGCTTACGTTTAAGGAGCATAACAACTTTAACAACACAGATGTTAAATATTTGTACATGACCATTTTGCCCCCGTCCTCTTCTTCTCTTTCATTTCTATGTTCAATCAAAATAAATAAACCCTAAACAAAATTCATCTCTTTCGTTTCCACATTTAGAAGTTATTGTTGTTTATAACAACTCATTTTTTTGTTTCAGAGATCATCACAGAAGAGGTGATTGTTGTGAATACACTTTCAGGACCCTCTTCTGACCAAGTTTTTTATGCTTTGGTAAAATATACGTATTTACCCTTTTGGCTAATTTTAACTAAATCTGTTAATGACATGTAATTCCAGGTTTGGGCATTTTTAATGGGATCTTATTCATAAGATTCAACATACACAGAGGGGTGGTATCTTAGAGTACATGACTATCAAAAAACCATTGGCAGGTAAATGACCATTTTACCCTCCAACTTCCATCACCTACATATTATGTTTATTGCAATTTCATGTTGTAGAGTATAGGTTTACAAAAATTAGAGAAAGGAAGGGTTTGATCGAGAAAGATGTGGTATGCAAATGACCATACATTTCAAATTATTTGAAAATTTGCTTTTTTATTTAAGTATTTTGTTTTTGTTTTTAACGTAAGGACTTGACAGGTCATTGTAGTTCTATGAGGGTAACCATTGATTCCATAATGGAAATGGGAACAAATAGCCATTGATTTCATAATGAAGTTGCCAAAAACTTCGATCGATTATGATATTATTTGGGTAGTGGTTGACCGTTTAACCAAGTCTGCCTATTTCCTAACCATCATATAAAATAAAAAAATAGAGAAACTTACCAGGACCCATCTTAAGGAAATAGGCAGACTACACGGTGTGCCAATATCTATTATCTCAGACCGAGATAACAGATTCACTTCTAGATCTTGGAAATTGTTGCAGAGGTCCCTAGGAACCCAAACTAGACATGAGTACAACATTTTATTCACAAACGGATAGACAGGGTGAAAGGATGATAGAAAATTTAGAAGACATGCTTCGTGTTTGTTTGATATGCATCGATGATGCATGGTATGCCCACTTACTGCTAGTAGAGTTTTTATACAGCAATAGTTATCACGTTAGCATAAAGGTTGCTTGTTTGTTGGAAAAAAAAAAAACTCTTCAGGCCTTGTATGGACATTCAAGGCCTTGTATGAACATAGATGTCTCCTCTTTGATTTCCAGGGGTTTGCGTCTCACGTTAGCATAGCCAGTTAGGTATCTCTAACTTCTGCTTAGTTTAGTCTAATGACACTTTCACCATGTAAAAGTGTCATTATATTTGGAAAACTAAACCCCTGTTACATCAGACCTTTTGAGATCGTGGGAAAAGTTGGTTCGATAGCTTACAAACTCAAGTTACCTCAAGAAATCAACAAATTTCACGATACCTTCCACGTGTGTGATCTCACGAAGTGTCTCTCTGATAAGAACCTTGTTTTCCACCTAATTATACTGTGTCAAACTTACATACAGTTCTAAGACTTTAAATTTTATCATTTTAAAATTAATTATTTAGCTTCTCTTTGTACCAACATGTGTGTATGTGTATCCTTTGATCATCCTGTTAGTTACATGTAAAGTTTTTAATTACATGGATTTGATTATAATGAATGAATGTGCAGGCTTTTTGGTTGTTTCTTTAAATGACAAGGATCCTTCCTATCAACTAATATGATGGATCCAAAGATTCCGAAAAAAAATGTTTTGTCCACAAAGAGCTTCTCACTCCATAAATATCAATTTTCTTATGATTTAAATGTATCAAATAAATATATATTGTGAAGTTCATACATTTGCAGGATGATCATGAACCAAATCCTTGGGAATTTTATGTAAGTGCATTTCCTGTAATACAATTTGTGACTTGGATTTTTTCATAAAGTACAATTTTCTGGAAAAATAACAATTCTATGAAACCATCCGTAAATATAAACTCTTTAACCTTTTTTCAGTTGCAGCAGTTATGGTTAGCATTGCACTTTCATCTTTTTTTATTAGGACATTACGCTTCAAAAAAGTTACCCAATTTCGATTTTTTTTTTCTTGTTGTGACATTATCCTTTGAATAATCTACCCATTAATTTATAGCATCGAACTTTCAATTTTTTTGCTTTTTAGGACCTAAAAAGGTTTACCTAATTAAGCAGTGAAATGGCTTTGTATTTGTATGGCATTGCTAAAACTGCCATACTTCTATGAAGAGGAGGAGGATTTTTCTATTTGGGGACACCTGGCATGCTCTTTTAGAAGCTGTATACTCATTTCTGTTACGTTTCTCCATGTTTTAAGGGTTTTGCTCAGATTCTTCCATGTTTTTGTAAAATTTGGGCTTTAATTTTTCCTGATATATTACATCTGATGGGTTTGATATTTAGCATATCCAACCGATTTTGGAAAAAAGCTTATATCAATCAGGCTGTGTAGTGCTCCTGATATAAGGCAAATAACCTTTTTTTTTCTTTTTCTTTTTCTTTTTTATTAAGTGCTGCACTGATAAAGTGCTACCTGAATAATAATGACATCTTTATATTTTATGGATTTGTGTCTATATCTATGATTGACTTGATAAAAATTGCTTTCTTTTAGCAAAGAGTTCAATCTATTTTTTTTTATGTTGAAAAGTTCACTTAATTAAAAAGTTATTAATGTCAAATTCATGTGCATATGTAATTGTGGTCTGTTTGTTAGACCTTGCATGCTTTTATTTTTACTAACTGAAATTTATGGAATATGGTTACAAAAATGGAGATTATAAGTACTAACCGATTCTTTTTACTTTTACAGTGGAGGAGTTTCTTTCTACAGTTAAACAACATGTTCTTATTGTCAGGTTGGTGGTTTAGGTCCTAATAGGAGTCTTTTTTTGCAATTTTGGTCCTTATTTCATGGTTTCATAACGCTTTTGGTACCAGGGTTGTCAAGTAGATGTTAAATTTATAAAAATGACCATTTTGTCCCTTTCATCATCATCTCTTTCATTTCCATTTTCAAGGAGCATGATGAAGTTTCAACAAAGTTCTATCTCTCCTTAAAAACAGAATTATCATATATGCTGAAGGAGCAAAAAAAAAAAAAAAACTAAATCCTTAAAAACAAAATATTTTTTAAAATATGGTACTCATTTCTTGGTTTGATAATGTTTGGTCTCAACTTCAAACAGCCTATATGCTAAATTTATGAAAAGGACCATTTTGCCAACTTTAACAACACCGATGTTAAATATTTGTACATGACCATTTTGCCCCTGTCTTCTTCTTCTCTTTCATTTCTATGTTCAATCAAATTAAATAAACCCTAAATAAATTTAGAAGTTATTGTTGTTTATAACAACTCATTTTTTGTTTCAGAGATCATTGATTGTTGTGAATAAGTTTCAGGACCCTCTTCTGACCAAATTTTTCTTGGGAAAACAACTTTACAACTCTTTTGTGACAACCTTGTGACCAAGTTTTTTATATTTTGGTAAAATTGATGTATTTAACCTTTTGGCTAATTTTAACTAAATCTGTTAACGACATGTAATTCCAGGTTTGGGCATTTTTAATGGGATCTTATTCATAAGATTCAACATACACAGAGAGGCGGTATGTTAGTAGAGTACATGACTATCAAAAACCATTGGCAGGTAAATGACCATTTTACCCTCCAACTTCCATCACCTACATATTATATTTATTGCAATTTCATGTTGTAGAGTATAGGTTTACAAAAATTAGAGAAAGGAAGGGTTTGATCGAGAAAGATGTGGTATGCAAATGACCATACATTTCAGATTATTTAAAAAGTTGCTTTGTTATTTTGTTTTTGTTTTTAACGTAAGGACTTGACAGGTCATTGTTGTTCTATGAGGCTAACCATTGATTCCATAATGGAAATGAGAACAAATAGCAATTGATTTCATAATGAAGTTGCCAAAACTTCAACCGGTTATGATACTATTTGGGTAGTGGTTGACCGTTTTACCAAGTCTGCCTATTTCCTAACCATCAAAGAAACTGACAAAATAGAGAAACTCACCGGGACCCATCTTAATGAAATAGTCAGACTACAAGGTGTGCCAATATCCATTATCTCAGACCGAGATAGCAGATTCACTTGTAAATTGTTGCAGAGGTCCCTAGGTAAAAATTCAATTGTTGTATTTCATTTGCGTTTGTTTGCGATTG